CTGTCCCTCCATTTCCTGAACATGACAGACGCATCCACATTGGCAGGAGAGAATGTGTTGGGCTCATTAAGCAAAGAGATTACACTCAGTAAGATAGTCCTGAAAAAGGTAACCACAACAGCAGAGTCAGAGCTAATGTATTTGTGGATTCTGGATGCTGACGGCTTCTTTATGGGATGCATCAGAAACTCGTTTAAAGTCAAGACCTAAGCTAAGGATAATAGCTGAAGTGACAGCAGATATTTATGAACTTCAGACTCCGGCCATCAGCGTAAGGAAGGTGGCACAATATAAACCTCAAGGACCTAATCTGACCACAGATCATCATATCTGTGCACATTCTTGTAAGAGGTGGCAGCTAAAGCCCAGACTGGACCTGAATTCAGCTTGTACACACCACCCATGGATAGTGCCATGCTGGAAACCTGCTTAATGGCCTGTTCCTGGTGAAGCGTGGCCAGCAGGTCAAGGGAGGTGATTCTGCCCCTCTACTCTGCTCTTGTGAGACCCCACCTGCAGTGCTGCGTTCAGCTCTGGGGCCCCTAACACAAGAAGGCCATGGAGCTGTTGAAGCCAGTCCAGAGGAGGGCCATGAAGATGATCGGAGGGCTGGAGCACCTGTCCTATGAAGACAGTCTGGACAAGAGAAGGCTCCAAGGAGATCTTACAGCATTACCTAAAGAGGTCCTACAAGAAAGCCGGAGAGGGTCTTTTTACAAGGGTGTGTAGTGATAGGACAAGGAGTAATGGCTTTACACGGGAAGAGGGGAGATCTAGATTTAGATTAGATGTAAGGAAGAAATTTTTTGCAATGAGAGTGGTGAGGCACTGGACCAGGTTTCCCAGAGAAGTTGTGGATGTGCCACCCCTGGAGGTGTTCAAGGCCAGGTTAGATGAGGGTTTGAGCAACCTGATCTAGTGGAAGGTGTCTCTGCCTGTGGCAGGAGGGTGGGAAGTCAATGGTCTTTGAGGTCCCTTCCAATCCAAACCATTCTATGATTCCATGATTCTGTATTTGGCATCCCAGCAGAAAGCCAGGCTCTCCACCTTTCCCCGACATAGAGAGGAGGACCACTACGACCCAAGACCATGAGATGAGGCCACACTGCCTTCCTTGCCTCACTAGCTGTTCGGAGGTTAGAGCTGGGGCCGGGTCTCTCCTCTCCTCAGTCCATCATGCACAGCTAAGGCTGCTACAGCAGCAGCACATGAGCACAGCCAGGGGAAGACAATGCAGATGTTTTTCAATATCCAGGCAAGCTGTCAAGGGCTCAGCAGGATTCAGCTGCTGGTTCTCAGCAAAGCCATCAGGATCCAGTCATGTAACCCCCAGCAGACAGACAGCCTTCCTGGATCTCTAGCAGCAGCACAGAGCTGCTAGCTGCCCAGCTCTGCTGCCAGTTACCAGGGGCAAACACCATCTCCCTCACTCAGATCCTTCTGCGTTTCCTACAACCCTCTGCACTTCAGAGATTCAGCCCCTTGCTCCACACAGGGCCACAACCAGCACAGAACTCAACAATGGGTCACATCAGGCAACTCTACACAGCCAGCCACCGAGCTGTAGCTACCCCTGCATTAGCTCCACGTGTCTGAGGTGGTCCTGCTGGCAACAGCTTTCCATTTAAATGGAAGGGAAAAACAAGAGACAAGGAGTAAGTCTTGAAATACAGCAGCACATAGCAGCCACTTTGCAGAACTTGATGAAAGGAGACCACAGCCCCAGCTGTACTTGCATTGATTCAGGGGCACACTCAGAGAAGCATGTGCTGAGCATATCTACCAGACCATGTATCTGGGATACAATTCCAGGAAATACTTGGTCAAAAAAAACTAGATTTGAAGAGTGAAAGGGCTAAACCCAGGCTCATTAGAGACAAGCCTGGGGGCGGCACGTCAACGTTTGAGGGACAATATGCTAACAAGGTCCTTCGGCTTGCTGTCTCAGTGGAGAGAGAAGATGGAGATCTCTGCAGCAGCAAAGACACAAATGTTATTGATGTGTTAGAAACCACAGAAGCGCCTGAGAATGGTCACATAGGAATTGGGGCTTCTTCCCCCACAAAAGGTGGTGGGGTCAATAGCCCAACTGAAGTGCATCTACATCAATGCACACACCATGGGCAACAAACAGGAGGAGCTGGAAGCCATTGCGCAGCAGGAAAACTAACAATAGTTGCCATCATGGAAACATGGTGGGATGACTCGCACAACTAGAGTGCTACAATGGATGTCTATAAACTCTTCAGAAGGGACAGGCAGGCAGGAGAGTTAGCCCTGTATGTCAGGGAGTGTTGACTGTCTAGAACTTAACAATGGTGAT